TAAACCTAATAAAACACTCCTGCTCGTTTTTTAAATAGTACATAAAACACTGCGCAGTTCAAAACTTGGAAATGTCGCACTACTGTATATACAAGTATTCAATATATTGCAAGTACAGAAATATATAAGTATTAAATATACAATTATAGATAGATAGATGATAGATAGATAGATAGATAGATAGATAGATAGATAGATAGATAGATAGATAGATAGATAGATAGATAGATAGATAGATTTAATAAAATACTTCGCAGCCATAGGCTGAATTGCGTATTTTTTTTACAAGTAAATTTAACTAATTACGAGAATATAAAAGGAGAGTTTATCAAGCCATTATGATGACATTCCATATAAATATTATATATACAAGATGTTTATTACTTTAATATACTAAAAAATTTAAAATTATTAAAAATATTAGGTCATTTCAATAGCATTAGGTAAATGATTTGCGGCACGAAGCCACAAAAAAACTAGTTTGAAAACGATTAGTGTTACATCTAGGAATTTCAAATTTCCTATCGTTTCTTAAATCATAAAAAGAAGTATGTGTAGGTGGCAGTAAACTTCGTAACTTATGATTTTCATCAGCAACTACTATTTGAAATAAACTAGTACAAATATTTTCATGATGAACAGACAGTGACTCCAATCCACAACTAATTAAAGCGTCTTCGTAATTAGTGTTTGGATAGATGATTCTAATAGCTCTTTTTTGTAATCTTTCCAATTCGGAACGCAAGTATTTTGGCAAAGAATAGTAAATGACAGGGATACCATAGTCGATAACAGATCGAATACATGTAACATAAAATAGAACCAGATCATTCCGAGGAATACTGGCCCGTTTGAGTTGGATCAGGTAATAGATTCGTTTGGATACTTTTTTAACTACCTCTTCGATATGTAGATTCCACGTCAGGTTATTATCGAATGACAAGCCCAGAAGTTTAACGGATTACGACTCTAATACTTTTATTGTTAATAAGTATCGGGTTAAAATCACGAGGGACTTTTGAGAAGGAAATACGGAGCTCCTTACATTTCTCTTCATTCAGCTTCATTTTATTGTTTTGGGACCATTGTGACATCTCATTAGCAATTGTCTGTGCTCTACTCTGTTGGTTTTTGTCAACTGTTTCCGATACTGTTGTATCGTCCACGTATTTCCATAAGTCAGTATCTGTGATAGATAAATCATTTATCAGGATTAAAAAGAGCCATGGACCTAAAATGGTGCCTTGAGGGACGCCCGAAGGTACTGCACCCCAATCTGAAAAACATCCTTGTGAAAGTTTGACTCTTTGGAATCTGTTACTTAAGAAATCAATAATCCAATTTATAACACTTCGTGGTAGATCTAACTGAAGTAGTTTATTGAACAAAAATTCTGTGATCAATTAGATCAAAAGCTTTTTGGTAATCGAATAGAATGATTCTAGTTGTAGAACCGGTACCGTCAAGCCCGGAGGTCCAGTTATGCACCATACTAAGAAGAGCAAAAATCGTCGATGATTTAGGAATTGCTCCATACTGATTGGGGTCAATTTTCTTCAAAACAGCTGGTTTCACATAATCATTAACAACGAAATGCTCTGCAACCTTCGAAATATTAGGTGTTAATGAAATGGGCCTAAGTTCTTTTTTCAGGTCCTGTACTATTTTTACTTTTGGCAGCGGTGAAACATTCGCAAGTTTCCATATTGCAGGTAGGCGTTGTTGTTTGTAGGATGCATTTAGGATGCATTTAGGATGCATTTACCTTAATAAATTGCGTGTGAAAATGACGGTATGAATCATATTTTGAAATATATAAAAAAATATCTGTACTGCGCAAGAAAATCCAGTTTCGGACCTAAAACCAAGGCGTTAAAAATTAGTAAAAATTAAAAAAAAAGCACCCGCCCGCCCACTTTTTTGCGAAAGCCAAGGACGCTAACCAACTATTTTTTTATGTGACATAACACTCGATCAAACATGGCGTCCAAAAATCCTTATATTTTCCATCAACCAAAAGTCGCTTCCGTAATCTCGTTTCACATCGCTCAAAAGTCGTTCGCTAAACTTTTGTACTAAACGAAACAGTTCGGCGTACATCTGTGTCCGCGAATGCGTCTTTGGCCACGTTCTCGAATTCTGGCTTCACTACAAGGTACGTCTTGGAATCATTAGGGTAATTGCCAAAACGAAGGACCATGATCAGCCAGTTCATCCCACCACCATCTGAGTCCTGTGCAGGTAGACGCTCCTGTGGCATCAGCATACCATGCTTGGTATACATCAGGACAACCAGCTCTCAGCTTATCAATCAGTGGCTTTATCGCGATGGCATACATCGCCATTGCTAACGGATCTCCTTGGGTTGTTCCTTCAGTCGATTCAATTTCGCCGTCTCCTGTTACGTACATTCTGATTGGGGATCTGTAGGTGTTGGTCAGAGTGGTCGCCAATGATGGACAGATTATGCTGATGTTATGGAGGGCTGCCTGACGGTTAGTGAATTGAACGCGTTGTTTGCATCAACCAGAAGTACCGCTTCGGTGTCAGGTGTTTGGAAAAAGCATCCCATGGCATGTACCGCTGCATCACAACCACCATTTTGGCCTGCACAGAGTTAAAAAGTAAACATTTCGTGCACTTAATTGTAACTGAAATTAAAAACTCTGATCTATATACGCAAAAGTTGCCTTGTCCAACAGTTTTTAAGAAATTGAAGACTCTGTCAGAATCCTTCGCTCATGCTTAATTAAAACCCCTTTGGCTTTGTGCAAATCCAAAACGTCCCAAGATATCTACTTCAACCGCCTTGTCAAACTATGGAACTACATCTCTAACTAACATTTGATATAGACTCTTGGACATTAGTGCGTGATTGTCCATGTCATAAAACTTAGACAGTAAATCAACTTTAATTGATGTTTGTATTGTTTTGTATAGTTTAACATTGTAATGTTTTTCGTCAGCACCTTAATGGGACTTTGTGTCCCGTTCGTGCTCTTACTATTTTGTCCGTTTGGGTCTTCGAATCTACTGCTCAGTTGTACAGTGACGTAGCCACGGGGGGGGGGACTGGGGGGACGACTCCCCCCCCCCACTCTCCTCCAGAACCACCTTCGAGATATGTTTAAATCCGTTGAGAAACTGGGGGGGGGGGGGTAACACTCACCCGATTTCATGTCCAGCTTAGAATTCGCAATTTAATAACTGAAGACGCAGGCATTCTTGACCGAATTATGATATGTTGTAATCTTCTGAATTTTGTAAAATCTCACCCCATAATGCACGAAATGGCTTTTCAGAGGCTCTGAATTTCAAAATTTTCCCGGGGAAGCATGCCCTCAGACTCCCCTACAGTGTTCGCACCTTCGGCGTTCAACTTGTCCCCTCCACTTTGTAAACCCTGGCTACGCCACGGGTATTGTACATTGTAGACGTCTTGTATACGTACTTGTATTTGATAATGTCTAGTTATTAGTACAATGTTCACTATGTTACTGTAGAATTCTCAATGAAATTGTTAAATCTTAACGTAGGTTAGGGTAGGTAGTTAAGTAGTTAAGTCTTCAACAAAAGGTTCCATTTGCACGGGCCCAAAACAAATGAAGTTTGTTTTATAAACATCCTAAGTCTTCGTTGAAGGCTGTGCAACAATTAAAGCCAATCCATAAACGTACAAAAAAGACAAGCTACTCTGTTTTACTTGTTTTAGCTTTCAAACAATTTACTCAAATTTCCGAAATCAATCAGTGGTATGATGTCATAATGAGCCGCGCGTTGTGACGTCAGCGCTAATGAAAGTTAAGCATGAATAAAAACTTTTAATTAACCAAATCATGTCCCTGAGCTTCCTACCATCATACCTACGAACCTGGATTGAGGCTGAAAAAATCTGCAAGGAGCAAGAATGTGATTTGCAAGAAACCATCGATCAGGAATATGATTGGGTGTTGGTCGATTATCGAAACGAGGCGGCGAAGCAGTCTGATGATCTACTGCAGGACTACCTCGTGATCGAAGGGCAAGGAAGTGCTCGGAAAGAGGACGATGCGTGGCTAGATGTTGGCCAAAGGACAACAGGGAGTTCAGGACGCTCAAGAAAGGCTGCGAGGCGTGCACGGAAAAGAGCAAGGCGAAGTGCTGATAGGTACGAATTTGTTGGTGCCACACAGTTGTATTGTATTGATATCAAATATAAAACAAACACTTGCTAATTTAAAATAAAAACATGCTAATTTATTATACCACTTAAATATTTTACATATTGCAATGTTACATTATTATGCAATGTTACAACATAAGTATGAACATACAAACTTGTGAATGAACCAATCATAGGAATTGGAACCAATCCATTAAGAAACCAGCCTGTTCCATTAATGCCATGAATTGATTATGATTACACAATTGCAAGAGTGTATGCTCATGTAATCTTTAATTTGAAGTGTGATTTGGTGCAATGCTCATCAATTATTCAGATAGACCCCGTATTTTGAGTTTCAAAATGACTTCATTAAACTTTTTTTTTAATTTCAGTTGGCACTGGCAAGTAATCTTCGTAGCTTTTTTCATTAAATGTGGAAAATATCTAAACGATAAATTTTTAATTTGGCAATTGGCTTTCTATGTATCCGTAAATATATAACCCAATTCGAATGCAATCGTGACGATCGCCGAATGCCTTAAGCCGGTTTTCCACTAGCGATTTTGTTCGCGCGAAGCGAATTTATTCCTTTGTCTTTGGGAAATTTGTTCCAGATGGTTGCAGCTGAGAGCTCTAAAACAATAGCAAAATGTCGCTTCGCGCGAAAAAAATCGCTAGTGGAAAACCAGCTTTAAGGCCCATACAGACAGGACGCGATTTGGCAACGCGACGCGAATTTTCAGTTTTCAATGACACTTAACTTTAATATTTTTCAGTGTTTTTCAAATATTCGGGACCACTTAAGCAATTTCAGCTATTTGGACTGCATATCTCGTAAAATTTTTACCCGTTGACGATTTTATTTGTTTTTGAAAACTGAAAATTCGCGTCGCGTTGCCGAATCGCGTCCGGTCTGTGTGGGCCTTTAAGCCTGTTTTCCACTAGCGAATTTCTTCGCACGAATTTTTTTGTCTTGTAAGTTGTAAGTTCTCGACTGGAACTAATTAAACTTTTAATTGAATTCTTTTCAATTTTAACAATAAAAATTCACATCGCGCCAAGAAATTTGCAAGTGGATTTTTTCGGTAATCGTTCCATGTTTCGCGCACCAATATAGTAAACGTTATGTAATGGATATTATAGTGTACTGAAAAGTTAACTGGATACCTCCATACACGTATATACACACCCTAACCCTATCCCTAACCTTAAACCTAACCCTAACCCCTAACCCTAACCTAACCCCTAACCCTAATACCTAACCCCTAACCCTAACTTATATTGGTGCGCAAAACATGGAACGATAACCATTTTTTCTTTGTCTTGTGATTTCTCGGGTGGAACTAATTAGAAAAGACAAAGAGAAATTCCGCTCCGCACGGAAAATTCCGCCTAGTGGAAAACGGCCTTAACGATTGTATGTAAATTGTGGTTGTTATTGTGAAAATTGACCCTAACCATCATATTTCCCACAGAAACAAATCAATGCCACCATACTTATTGTAATATTCAATACAGGCATTCTCCTTATCTTGGTATTCCATTCAAGTTTACCAAACAGCCAACCAGTGGCATTGTTCCAATGGTGAAGATTGATTCTTCCAAAGAATGTTTGCCAAACAGCATGACTTCAATCAAACCATGCGAGACGGAGAGATGCATTGTTCCTTTTTACGGCAAAGAACACCATGGCGTCCAACTGTCCGAAGTGTTGCGAGTTTTTGAGGATTTGTCGAAGAAAACCTCGACCGCAATCATCCATTGCGATTTTGCGCAGTTCAACAGCCTCAATGTGTGCACAACGCGTGACTTGGTTTGCGTGAAAAATTCTTATCCATTCGTACAGAAATGTGTGATGAACACTCTCGACCAATGCATGTTTTCTGACATCACAATTGCACGTGACCAACGCAATTTCCCTGACGTGATGATACGTGACCAGTGCATGTGCCCTGACGTCGTGACACGAGATCAACGCATGTTTCCTCGCATGATCCCCTCGGACCTGAACAACAAACTCGTGCTTCCATATCACGATGCCGTCGAAAATGATGATGAAGACATCTTCGAAGATTGCATGGATTCAACATTTAAAATTTTCTCGTTGAGCACATCCGAATCTTTATACTCGAAGTTTAACGCAACAAAGAAAAAATTGGAAGACCTTTTGAGATCGCTCTTGTTGCTACACCTATTCGTGGGCAAAAAGTTTCAATCATGGAAGGATACAACGATGTCTAATCTTTCCCAGCTCTCCACGGGGCATGTCATCCCTGCCAAGACCATCACTCCACACTATGATGTCACAAAGTCGTTTGTGTCGGTTCCAGAGAAGTCACAAGGTCCCACAAACGCAGGGCACGTGACAGGCAAGAAACTGCGTCGTCAAAACCGCATGGCAATGAGAAACAACGTGGTGAACAGCAACAGACAAAGAGGAATGAAAAATGGCCGCTTTCAAAATAATGTTGGTCATCGTGAGTCATGGCATTGATGAAATTACAAAAAGAAACAATCAACGGAAGACTAACTAACCAATTAAGCAAGATCAACCATATAATGCACACAAAAGAAATAAAAACAAACAGATTTCATAAACAGCATTACGGAATAAGCCGAAAACAGAAGTCATAAAATGAAAATATAATGTGATCGTGAAAATAAGGAAATCTTGTGCATTAATTAAAACACATAAAAATGTAATTTAGTTGTCGCGTTTTCTTTTCCGCACGAACTATTTCTACATGCTACACCACAGGGCAAGTATATGAAAGGCATATCAATAATCGTTAGAAAAGATTATATGGCCTACACACATAGCTCAGGCTCAATACTAATTATTTGGAAACTAAAATTGCATACATTTATTTAATCATGCCCAAATTATCATGGTTTCTTTTGGAATGACTAATAACAACAACGTTATAAGTTATCATTAATCTTGTTAATTATTAGTGATTCCAACAGGAACCCCAACTATAACTATATATAGACTATATAGGTCATCCTCTTTCCCAGGGCTTCTCGGCCACGCGCGACCTTCATAGGCCCTGGGCTCCTGGGCTTCCCTGGGCATCCTCGTCCCCAGGGCCTCTCGGCCGCGCGCGTCCTCCCTAGGCCCTGGGACATCAGTACGGAACAAGAAGTGCAAGAAAACTTGCAGTAGTTTCTAAGGCGTATGCTCTTGAATTGGGACGCTTTAGCACGTACCATAACAATTTTCACGTACAGTGAAGTATTTACGAAGAAACGAAATATTTGTGTTGACATATGTTGATTGAATAATTTTGTTTAGCGAAAACTGCTCAACTTCTGCGAAATTTAGCTGTTCTCTGAGAAGCCAATCAGATCTCTCTTTTTAGTTGTCTCACCCAGAGCCTAATTTTCAACGAGTGACCGAGTGAAAATGACTCTGGGGACGAGAATGAGGCCCTGGGATACACGGAACCGGAAGTGTAAGAAAACTTGCAGTGGTTTCTAAAGCGCATACTCTTGAATTGAGACGCTTCAGCAACCGTAACAATTTTCATACGTACGAAGAAACGAAGTATTTGTATTGACATATTTTGATATAATAATTCTGCCTAAATATAATAATTCTGCTCAACTTCTTCAAATTAGCAGTTCTTTGAGGAGCCAATCAGATCTCTCCCTTTAGTCGTCTAACCCAGAGCCTAATCTTCAACGAGTGACCGAGTGAAAATGACTCTGGGGACGAGAATGGATTTGGATACAATCACAACCTCGTACCCAGGCTCTCTCCTCTACGCTTCTTAGCTTGCTATCTCCAAGTGAAATGAATATAACTGGAACGCTACCTCCAATCGGAAATTTGAAGCCAAACTTGAAGGCCAGTGCCACTTTTCACACATGGGAAGAGCACGGTCATTCTGTCAACATGAAAATGTATTCTTGAAAACCAGCTCAGTTAAAATTTACAAAAATACTTTAATGCAGTTATTCCGTTAACATTTCCTAGAAGACTTTATTTCTTCTCATTACAACGGCAAGCTCGCTCCCTCAACTGGTCTCGCGAGAGAATCGCGAAGCATAAACACACGGGTCTGGGGATCAGGTTTGGCTTAAGAAAAATATAGGCAGTGTACCTGAAGATAGCGTTTGACACGCGCGTCTGGGGGTCAGATTTGGCTTAAAATTAAGAAAAAGATAGGCAGTGTATCCGAAGGTAGCGTTCCAGTTATATGGCGACCTCCAGGGTGTCTCAGCGCTGGCATTACAGCTAGAATCAGAGAGCTAGAATAGACTACACAAAAGCCCGACTTCTTGGTTTTTCCTATGATTTTTCAATTATGATTTTAGCGTAACCGTAAGTCGTCATCAAAATGCTAATGCCATGGTCCTAGCCAGTGCGCGTTTGAGAGGCATTCACCCCTCCCCCCCCTGAGAGTATTCGAAATGGCGGACGTCCATAGCCCGGGGGGATGCCTCTCAAACGCCCACTGGCTAGGTGGCATCGCAGCGGTTACTCGACTTTTATAATAGACATAGTAGGTAACTGAATGAAATCCTGAACTAGTTTATGGTTGCAGTCTGGACTGACAGGTAGCCAAGACTAACAGAGGGCGTGCCACTTCTTGCTCGACATTCTTCTAAGTTATATGTTTCAGAATATTTTAAGGAGAGCAAGAACACACCACGTCATATAAGTTTCAGTTACTTTACAGGACATTTGAAAAGTCTTATTTAATGAATTAATGGTATAAGAGTAAGGCCCTGTGAGACTGGGACTTAACAGCAGGCAAAGTCCAAGACTGGAAAAACATCCAGTCAGAGTTCTGTGCCTGTTGGCGGGGGATTCATTGATAATTTTGTTTCATTTACCAGAAAACACAACTACACAACTTCAAGTAGCAAGCTTCAAGTAGTTTAGCTATAGGATATTAGATTCAAGTATTCATGCAGTATTAGCGAGGTTTAGCAAAGACGACGCGCCGTCAAAGACGACGTGAAAATGGCGTAAAAATGGCGTGATATGCCCATCTATGGATGTGCCTACGCCATTTTTACGCCATTTTCACGTCGTCTTTGACGTCGCGTCGTCTTTGCTAAACCTCGCTAGTAGGTGATCGCTAGATAGTATACTTCAAAATAAGGTTTCCATTTTTATAACGTAGAAAAAACTATCCTAACGCAAAACTAAACCCTAACCCTAATACTAACCCTCACCTTAACCCTAACCTAACCCTAACCTAAACCCTAACCTAACCCTAACTTATTTTAATTATTTTAAAAATTGATATAAAAACGGAAATCTTATTTTGAAGTATACTATCTAGCAATTGCCCTCGCTAGTATGGGTTAGAGTCTGCGCCATCTGCACACTGTGCGCAGTTAGGGCCCTGGGTTCCCTAATCCGTTATCCGTACGCGCGGTCGCGGTTATTAGGTTCCCTAATCCGTTATCCGTACGCGCGGTCGCGGTTATTAGGTTCCCTAATCCGTTATCCGTACGCGCGGTCGCGATTCCCATTAAGCCCCGCGCAGCCGCGCTCCCAATGTTTTTCCACTGATCTCTATTCCCAACCGAAGCGACGAGGGACGAGGCAGGTTAGGGTCAGGGATTGTCAGGGTTAGGAACTTATAAACAATAAAACAGCGAATTGAGCGAAACATAAACATATAACCTGACTGCCCAGCAAGCTATACTAGTATGTGGAGGATATGATGATTTTTTCGTACGTGCGTGATGATGCCCATTGCCCTCACCTTGGCATGGAGATGAGTATCAAATATCAACACACATCCGGGTTTTTTTTTCCTAATGGCTACATCATACATATATAATGTAATTAAAGTATCCCCATTTTAGCACGCTTTTACGACATCTCTAAATTTCACTGTATAAAGTACTCAAACTGGAGCCGTAAGTGTGACGTCGGGTTCGCATGGGAAGTGATTTCGTATTTGGTCATTCTGATGCCTGACGTTTTTAGGGTGGGATCTTGCCTGAAAATTCATTTGTTTGACTTTTGTCACTTTTCCCGAGGAAAAATATCTTAAAAGCAGTTTGAGAAGATACCAAATGAGAACTTTTTAATATAAATTTTATAAATTTACCACTTCTCAGTGCGTGAAAAGCTTGAAAGCGTCAGGATGACAAGGATTAGGATCCTATCTTCCGCCAAGAATAGCTTATTTGACGTCATGCGATTGTAGCCTTGCGAAGCAGGTTGGGCCGCCCCTGTGTTTTTGTTGCAGTCATTTTGCAAAGTGACGCGCTGTATGACGCTGTTTTACGTGGAAAGAACGATCCTAAACGAATGACCCAACAATTCTGTGGAAAGAACAGAAAATAAGGTGACGTAGAACTGTGACGTAGATTGAAAACTTTACTCTTCAAACTAAGGTTTTCTATTTCTCACAAAGTAATTCAAACGATCTCAATATGGCTCGTTTAAAATCTTGCTTTGAATACCTTCGATCGAGTTGTTCTTGTCAATGCAATTCGCTCGATTTTGATGCTTTTATCTTATGTTCTTTCCCTTCGTTTAGGCAACACGGACAACTAGGTATATATTGGGATTTGAAAAGAATAATTAGCCATCGAGGTAGTAATCGATTGAAGCCTTTCTTTGCTGGTAAACAGCTAGTATTTAGAGCAGAAATATGGACCAAATCGAGCAAGATCACACGGCAAATGGAAACGTTTCAGACACGGACGGCTCTCAGACGAATGTCGCCCAAGAGCAATTTGCAGGCGTGCAAGATACAAATACAAGTCTGATCCAAGCGACCGTCGTTCAATCGCCTCAACAATTTTCCCAAACGGCCGTGTCTGTAATACAACCCGCTCAAGCCTCGGTCATTCAGACTGCTACTTCGTCTGCCCAGCAAATGCAGATACCGCAAGCCATTCAGTTCCAAGGGGTTATTGATCAGGACGACGATCTAGACGAAGAAGGCAAGAAACGTCGTGATATTTTGTCAAGAAGGCCTTCATACAGGTATTTTGCTTTAAAAATAAGATTTCATTGCTTTTCCGAATCCCAAAATTGCGAAAAGCAAGGTTTCTTTTATATAAAGTCATTTTGTACAATTTCGGATGTTTTCATGCGAGTCTGCGAGTGTATGACGCATGCAATGACGCAATATGAATCCGTGTTCGCTTGATTTCAGTCATCAGTTAATGATATTTGCGTGTTTATCGTTCTTGAACTTTAATAAACAAGTACTGATATCGTGTGAGGCAACTTACTTGATATATGCTCCTCAACACGCATGGTCTATCCAAAAACGAGGCGAGAAAACGAGATGCCTGTTGCCTATCAAAGAGCTGCCATTTATCCCAAAAGGTTTGTTTGTATACAGTGATTCCTTTTTCGAATTTTAACGACTTTCGCGCTATTTAATCAATGTTTCCTTAAATTCACACCTGCGGGGTGATATTTGACTGCTTGTTGATAAACTTATTTTCTTTTCATGTGATTATGTGATATGACAACAGTTGAATGTTTCTAAACAAAAACTTTTTGGGGGAAAAATATACTTGAAACACCTAATACTGTAGTAAATAGAACTGACTGTCTGAGTTTTCAAAGTTATGAAGGTTATTGGTTTGTTTCGGTTACCATATGTGAGAAGAGGGTCACCATTTGACTCTGCCATTACAGTAATGCTGCAGGTTTTCTATTACTGAACCTTTAGGGTATATATAGGGTAAACAGTTGATAACTGATAGAGTGATAGAATAATTCAATGTCAATGGTTATTGTAGTGATTTCTCAAGTGGAAAATTATGTGCCTTCAGTTGATGCGCCTACTTTATTATTTTTCTCTGCTTAACACCAGACGATCCTACTTGTCAAGGGGAGAGTGAGCTACCACGCCATGGGTTAATATGAGATGGCATGAGTAATTCAATATTGCAATTATAACGAACTGGTCAAAATAGTTTGAGCATTTTGACAATTCTTTTTGACGTGAATATTAGAAGTACCTTTTATATCCCAAATATTGTAGCAGTCCATTCATGGTTTTGTAAGAAAAGGTTGACAGTGTAAAATTAATAAAATAAATTTGTATTCACATAGTTATTTAGCAAGTTTTTTAACGTTTGGTGCAACATATCATTTACTGTTTAGACCCTCCACTAGATTATGGACTTATGGTAACCCTTAGTGATGGTATCTTTCTGTAACAGTTACAATACTATCTGATCATATGTCATGTTCGTCAGATTTTTTTCTGGATAATTTTGATCATTACCATTTGCAAGCAACCATCAACTGCAAACATTGACAAGTAAAAAAAAGTAGGGTACACTGGGGCGCATTGCGGCTCAATGGGTTAACAAATATAAAACATTTCCTTATGTTGGTATACAGTTTTGGTATACAACACTCGAGGAAATTGGGAAAACGAGAAATTGTGTAGAAACACAATGCCAGGAGGGCGCAGTGTTTTCGCACAATTTCTCGTTTTCCCAATTTCCACGAGTGTTGATATAACAAACTATTATTTTACAATGAATGAATGAGGTTGAGCGTGATGTGGAAAATCGTGAAGGCGGTCAAGCCCGAAGTTTGTTATCAATATTTTGAAACCTTTTTGTGGCTGTTTGTTGTTATTGGTGTTCCAAAACCCTTTCATGGCTGTTTTCATTGATATTTCTTCTTTATAAGTTGTGTCGGTTATTTTAAAATGTATTATTTTAAAAGTTGTGGCCAAAGGCAGTGCCATATTGTTTTAGCTGTGTTTCCAAATTTCGTATATACTTGTTTCCACTGCATGATTTCATAATGTACTGTATTGTTGAACATGATTTTTTTTCATATTCAACATTATTACATTATAACATTGAACATTACTACCTTAAAAAAAAACAAGCAGAAATTCTACGTTTCGAGTGAAGGCCCTTCGTCAAGAGTTAGCAGTCAAGAGTTAGTACTCTTGATGAAGGGCTTTCGCTCGAAACATTGAGTTTCTGCTTGTTTTTTAAGGTAGTAATATAACCACTCAGCACAGCATTTTCACATTGGTACTACCCACACTGGTACAGACAGTTTTAGTATAACATTGAATATGACTTTTCCATATCCAAATATGTTTTTTGGTACATGGGTAATATTTGAGTCATTCTGAAAAGAAACATAATATTCCCTTAAGTTTATAGTAAAAAACATGGTAAAGGAAAAGTAACAATTCTTCCTATCAATTTCCAAAGACATAAAGATAAATTACATTTCTTACAAATACTAGAAATACCAAAAATGGTCATGTGTATTACACATTTAATTTTTACATGTTCTAATTGGCTAATTAACGGTAATCTTACAGAAAAATATATGACGATCTTTCTGATGGATCAATAAAGGTTGAAGATGAGAATGGTCAAGTAATGGCTCGTGTAGCAACTATCTCTGCAGGTGGTATCAATGATCAAACATCAACACAAACAGTTAGCATACCACAAGGAATCCAGATAACAACACAAGGTGGTGCTTTCTCTGCGGCATCACTTCAAACTGTTCCAATCTCTGGACAGTCTGCGACAATAGTACAATATCCCTCTGGTCAGAATGGGCAAGAAGGACAATTCATATATGCTGCTGCCCCTGGAGATGTCGAGGTGGGTAAAAGATGTTAATTAAACTTCAAGTTAACCATTAAATACATAATACACATTTTAAAATGTATTTAAAATGTTGGCTGAAAGACTGGTTTCTTCAAAGTACCCTAAAATACATGTGGTTTTGTCCAAAAGAAATTTATCATGACAGTCAACAGGTTGTCATAATTCAAGATTTTTATTCGTACAAACTTAAGACTCAAGGCGTACTTAAGACCGTTTTCCACTTCAACCGTATGGTAACGAAGCGGATTTCTTTGTTTCCTGAGCACTAGAGTGGAACTAATGACTTCAACACAAAAGAGTGTCAGTAACCATAACACAAACACTACAATTGACTGACCCAACATTCCTCAGTTCCATCAGTCTAGTCGTGTTTCATGTAAAGACTTGTCCCGATATATAGTCTTGATAACCGTTTTGAATACATGGTCTTGGAATACATGAGTTTGAATACATGAGCAAGACTTTCGCGTACCCAGCTACATGGATTCGTGGCTTGATAAAATAATTACGATTAAGAACGCGATTTATCACACCCTGCATAAACTTAAAGGTTTTTATGAGTCTTTTTCGTATTTTTGATTGCATTTACCCAAATATTGTTTTTGCAACATATATAGAAAGGGAATTTGTGAAAGGGTTCGAATTAGGGCGTCTTTATATCGCTATGATGCCAAAATGATGTAGGCAGTTGTTATTATAGACAATTAAGAAGATATCTCTTCTGGAGTGTCTATGACTATGTTATTATAAAGAATTAGAGCATCAATCTAGCTAGTCGCTAGAAGTGCATAGAATCAAGCAGAAATGAGTCCCATTTGGATTTGCTTAATTTCTTCGCAGTATGCAAGATGTTGTTTTCCCTCTCATAGACATAGTTTTGGTTTATTCTATTTTTCCCATTGTTATCCACCATCTTTAGGAAAATGCATGTACGTCTTCTGAGGATCTTCCTCAGATAAAGAACAGCTGCAACAAACATTTTTTGTAAACCTAATATCCATGGTCAGGTCAATGTTTTTCAACAAACCAGAACGCCCACGTGGTTCCATGACGTTCATATCACATTTGCAGGATTATCACTGTTTTGATTTGTGTTCCACATGCCTGTTTATTTTCATTGATACTTTTAGAAATCAAATTTCTCAAAGTTTATGTATACATTCCGTTAGAGTTGGTTTCAATTTTTTATATTATGGCGACTGTCCAAAATGTTAATTAATACAAAGTGCAGTTCTGACAGAGACGATTCGACTGACTCATGATCTTCGCCTTTGACATTCCTTGTTCGCATTCCTTATAAATTATAATACACTCCTGTCTCCTTCCTAATATGGCATTCCTAAACCATTGTCAATAAAGAGTAAAGGCTGCTTTCCACTGTTTTTCACATGCACGTGCGTGTACGCTCAGAAAAGTTTAAATCCTTTTGAATTTTACTCGTTCAATAACGAATTGAATAAAAGGACGGAATATAGTTTTCTGTATAATTCAATGTGTATTTGTTGAGGTAATTAGTAGTCATAAAAAAATTAGAAAGATTTAAACTTTTTCGTGCGTACACGCACGAATGAAAAACGCTAAAACGTGATTCTTTTAATTTAATTGCGCGCAGCCTTTTATTAAAACATGATTTATATTTGTTTCACTACTCACTAGTAAAACATTTGCAGTATGTACATGAAACAGTAAAACTAAATGAATTTGGAAATTAAAAATTGCCGTAGTGTAAATGTGTCGGTAGCACATTTTGTTGTCAGGAACTGGACTACAGTAAATAATATATAGCTCATATATCACAACAGAAATGAAAATTACTTAATATATATATAATTATAACATGTCCATACATGGCAATTCTTATGAGAGAATATTAAACAAGTACAAAAACAATTTGTGTGATCATTTATTTTTATCGTAAATCATCTTTGGAAACAGGATATTTGTGGTACAGTATGTTATAAGCAATAGGTTATCTTCCTCCGATATCGCGCAACGTAAGGTATATTGTAAATTATATTTTTAACTTTTTGACATAAACTTATTTGTAAATTTGTGTGTTTCCAGGGTGTAAATAATGGCGCGACAGTATACGCTATTCCAACAAGTCAAGCATATGCAGTGCGTCATGGTCAGTTATCTCCAGCCAGTGCAGTTGTACTTAGTCCTGGATCAGGTCTTCAATCGCCCATTGGTTCTGAAGATGCCACGAGAAAACGTGAAATGAGACTCCTGAAAAATAGGTCAGTCTAAAGTGGTTTAATTTTCAATAATTTGGTAAACCGGATCTCAAGGTCTTCATATGGCTTTCCAAGACCTTTAGTGTTCCCTTCACTCGTGTAGCCCATTGTTGATTAGGTCAAAAACACCTGTTTCCAGTATTTTAATGATTGAACTTAAATCTTCTGCGCTAAATATGTATAGTAAGTAAGTAGGTAGTTATTCTCTGCTCCTATATATTCTATTAAATTTCGAATTTTAAGGTTTTTTTCTTTGCATGTTCGGTGCACATCAGAATTATTAGACGTAAATGTTATAGATATTCCACAAAGTTATTGATTTGAAATAAATTTGGATTTGAAAAATTCGATTTTTTAACTGAAAGTTGGTGTTTGTCCGGTCAGTGAAAAGCCGAGCTTTGGCTGTTTGTCAGAGAATTTGATTGTTTGACAATGGTCACGTTGTTTCAGGCAATTAAAAACTGAATCTTACCCGCATCCAAGCAAACCTGGCGAACTTTACTTGAAGAGCTTTGTGTTTGGATCATTAAAAAGTATTTCACGAAAAATCCCATATGCATGTGAAGCGAAATAGAAAAGGTCTCATGTAGAAGAAAGTATCTGATGTGTGATAACTCTTTTTCTCCCAGGGAAGCAGCGAAAGAGTGCCGACGAAAGAAGAAGGAATATGTGAAGTGTTTGGAGAACAGAGTTGCTGTTTTGGAGAACCAGAACAAAACATTGATCGAAGAACTGAAGGCTTTAAAAGATCTATATTGCCACAAAGCAGATTGATTTTAGAAGATGTTAGATAAAGTCTTATGGACAAAAAATATATTCTTGTAAATAGTAAAATATAATTTATATGTCAATCCTTAGCTCAAGTGCATGCCTATTATAAATGAATAGAACGTCTAGAAAGTCATTCATCTCCATTCGTCAGATAGGGTGATGTTTTTTCATCATACCCATAATTTTTAACCAATTTTGAAATATTATCCAGAGTGTATAGTGTACTTAGACTGGGATTATTTTACTGAATAAATAGTTTTAATGAGTTAACGATGTATTCCACTGTCTTTTGCAATTTCACTAGTTCTTAATGCGACTATAGACTCGCATAACAATGCTGGATTTACCCCCTGAAGAATTTTTTTTATTCTATTTGTTGTACCATACTTTTACGCCATTATGTACTGACGCCTTTATGAATCTCGTAGCCGTGACCAAATTGACAATAGGGAGCTTTAGATTTGAGTACGAGTACGAGATTTCATCGCGTGCGAGGAAATTACCGTAGTCGTTTTCGTTTCCAATTAAATGTTGCTTTTATAACAGTAAACCAACAACGAGACTACGAGAGAAAAAGTTTCATAAACTAAATCTCCTGCAGACCAAAATCCCCTACAAAACGTGTAAATACGTCATAACATTAAAAACAGGCCAGATATTTAATATATTATTTGCGCCGGATAAACCCTATATAAACGCTACAAATTATTTTTGGTAAACAAAAAAAAGCCAACTTTCTTTTTTTTTTGAAAAGTCGTCGTGTGGACTACGAGAGTTCTCCACAATTTCGTACTCAGATGGGCGACGGCTACGACTTTTTCTCGTCAGTACGGGATGGCGTAAGCATACAGCATGCGTTTAGCTTGACGAATCTCGTACTCGTAGTCAAATCTAAAGCTCCCTAATGGGAATATGTACAAAGACCAAATCTCGTAGTAATAAAATCTCAAACTTTCTACTATTTGATGGATGAGAATTGATGAGAGTTGGCAGTCGTGCACGATCACGCATTGTTTGACGGGGGAAATTTCAAGCTCTAGATTAACAGGAAAAAACGTTTGAACTATATGAGTGTTCCAACTATTATGTTGTAACTTAGAAAATAGAATATTTATGCCGTAATATTGGGAAATCACTAAGAAGTACAACTGACCACGGTCACGTGATTGCCAACTCATGCACTCTCATCCTTGTTTGATCCTGGTTTGATCTAGCCTCCTCAGGCCTCTCTATGGCCCGAGTCCTCGGGTGTGACGCCTGCGGAGGAGGCTAAGTTTGATCATAGTTAATACAGGGTGTATAAAAGAAAAACTGAACAGATTTGAAATTAAGTTCTTTGAATTGAAATTGAAATAAATAGATTTGAAATTGCTCTCAATTTCGCAAAACAGCTATTAGTATCCAGTTTTTTTATATAAATAGCTTCTTTGGGTAGTTATGATGTAGAATAATGAAAAAAAATTCTCGAACACAAATTTTGTAAACCGGGG